GTAGTCACTCATTCAGGAAGGGCTTCATCTGCTTACTTTCAGCTCCAATGGAAAGCGGGTGACACGACATGGTTACCTTACTCCGAGTGTTCTCATCTGGAACCCTTGAAAGCTTATCTTGAGGCTCAGGGCGTAGATTCGATATCGCGATTGCCAGAGGGAAAGGGAGCTTTACCTGATTCGGATGCACAAATTTTTAGTGGGGCTGTCAGCTGGGATATAAAGGGTGTACTCACATTCTCTGGTCTCAATTCTGATCCCTTTCGCATGTCCCAAATCGATATCGCACTCAATGAGCTCTCAATCCAGGACGAATCCGTCAATGCAGCGTCCGATCGCACCTCGTCCACCCTCTCTGGCGCGTCCTCCAATGCAAGGGTTGGTGACAGCTCCTACAGCGGCACCCACACGTCCTCGGGAGACCAGATTCGAGCCGCGCCCAGTGGGCAAGCTCCTGAGGGATCTGGCTCAGCTACTGGACACACAGGCGAAGGTTTTCCAGCATCTGGCAGTGTGGGAGGACATAGCGGAACTCGAGAGGGAGTCGGCAGTGCTCAGGAAGGAACAGAAGGACACCATTCGTCGTCTCAAGATGTTGCCGGGTCGACGGGCAGCGGCGCTGGTGGAGGAACTGGAGAGGGTTCACTACTCAGCACCACCCCCGGTTCTGCAACAGGCACCACTCGAGACCTTGGCAGAGGTTTCCTCTTTGGTACGGGAGAGGGACTAGGCGGTTTAGATTGGACGAACGAGGACTTGGACATGCTCTCTGCGCCAGGTACTCCTCCTATGACTTTATCCCCTCTCGTTCAACCGACAGCCTCTCTTCATCCTGGTAACACCCATCCGGCAGAACCAACGGCAGCAACTCCTCCTTCCTCGGCGACTGGACCAGTCATCAATGTCAACACGAGCACGGCCATGGCTCAGGGTGCGGGCGCGTTGGTCAGCACCTTCCCTGATGGTACTGTCAATCATGGTGCTCACCTATGGGCCCAATCTCGTGAGTTACAGTCTTCGCACAATGCTATCACGCACCAGGTCCTTAATTTGCTTGGCCGTTGCCTTCCTGCAACATCAGAACAGCGTGGTCGAAGCCGTAGTCGTTCCAGGAATTCATCTCCCTATACCCTTCATCGTGTTCGCCTCGACAATGCCTTGAATTCGTTCGACAACTACGCTCGTGGCCATCAGCGTCGTGGCGGGAATCGGGGCCACAATCGTGGTCGTGGTTTTGGTCGTGGTCGTGGTCGAGGAAATGGTCGTGGTGGCCCTCCTCCTCCTTATCCTGGCGCGTCCAATACCCAGAACTCTACCCAGTCTTCTGCCTCGATTTCTTCCCTTCCTATCGGCTTGTCGACAAGCACCGGATCAGCGGCTGCTCCCATCGTGGTTGAGGCTTCCGCTGGTGCTTCTGGTGACGACGTTCAGATGGCGGATGCAGCGACAGGCGCGTAGCGTGACACGTCGTGTAACGCAGGAGTTGGTTGGTCACATATGCACAGCCACTGATGTGGTTTCTTTTCTTTGTAAGAATTTTCCGTCGATACTCACAATTTGCAGCTTCCGACTCTGCAAAAATTTTATCTTCTTTTTCCTTTGTTTACTGGTGTACGGCTTGTCTCTGACAACCCGGGAGGGCGAGTGTAGGGATTTTCATCGTCTCTCGTCATCCTCGAGACTCAGCACTTACTCAGCTTTGCTTGTACCTATTGTACCATTTCCTTATATATTCTTTGCTACAGTATATATACGACGCTTTGTACACTAGTAGGAGGGTTTGGACTTAACGAGAGTTGTTCTAGTTCTCTCGCGTGACGCTAAGCTTCTCTCCGCAAGTTCACTTTGTGTAGCGACACTTGGCTTCGGTCATCTGGCGTTACAGTTCCCGCCCACCGGCTGGGTTCCACACGTCACAACAATCACGCTATTTTGTGGGCTAACAGTACGGCAAGTCTGTCTTCTGCGCCGATTGTTCATTCAGGCCCATAAATTGGAATGGAGAACCTCATCGCAAGTACAATTTTGCTTCGAAGGAACTTTTATACTAATAATACAAGTTTTACTCAGAGATTGGCCAAAGATGGATCGTTTGAGGCAATGATGGCTTTAGTCGAACGAACTGTCAGCGACCGAAGAGCCCATCGAGCTTTCTTTTGCGTCATGGAAGAGAATCTCAGTTTCAACACCACCTCTGTCCAGGCTATGAAACGAGGGAGGCTACCGCTGGTTCCTTCGCTCGACCCCAAAGACAAACTAAATCTCAGTTGTATCTCACTCATCGCACTCGCTACAGGCATCCAAAGGCGACATTTCCCCCGATTGGTCCGCTTGGAAGACAATATTTCCTCCGTGCTCGCTCTCATGCCTGCCATATCATTCTGGTTGTGTCTCTTCTGCGAGCACATCATCTTACCTTCCCGAGCACCCGAGTTCAAGGTCGTTGATTTCCACCACGCCATGGTGTTCATCCTATCCCATATCGGAGGGTACAAGAAGCTCGTCGAGAAGCTCACGATAGAACCAAAACTCTTCACAGAGCACCTTCCGTATCTTTGGCTTAACCCTCCCTCTGGCTGTACCAAGTACAATCTCGATGATTCCCGGTCAGTCTTTGCTGCTGTATTCCATGCAGGTCTCGGCGCACCACCACCGTGGAAAGACATTTTCATCCGCCGATTGGAGGAAAACAGTACACTCACCGCCACCCTCATCATCCAGCGCATTCTGGAGGAGTTCGCCCAAGTCCCGGAGGAACCTGACGCTGCAATTCTCTGCGAATCTTTTTTGGTTGTCGTAACCTTTTCCCTCGAACTCTCCTCTCAATGCCTATCCATCCAGACCGCTCTGCTGAAACACAACATTGCTCAACGGATCTGCCTTGTTTTCCGATTCTTCACTCGCCGCGCACAATTCACCAATGCGACACTGCGCGTATTCATGGAGTGTATGTACATGTGTTTGCTTTACATTACCAGAATCATGCAGGACGGACATTCGTACATCCATCAACTCCTGGGCTACAACATCCTTCTCTATATGTTCAAGGCGCTCAGAAACCTGCATACTTACCCCGAACTCGCCGATCAGCGGTACAAAGAACTCAAGACCACCATAGCGGTCCATATCGTGAACATTCTAAACAATGTCATATGCCATTTTTCCTACGCTTCGATTCTGAAGCGGTCCAAAAAGGCTATCTCCAAAATTCAACGACAGCACGCCGATGGATTCCTCGACCCTAAAGACCTGAGCTTGAAGGACGTGTACGAAACATGGTCACAGTTCGTAACCATCGCTTCGTACAGAAACAATATCTGGTCTACTATTCCTGATTTATTCTGCGGTAACAGCGAGGTGTGTAGTCCCATGTTGATGATGCTAGTTACTTTAACCTCCCGTCATAGTGTCCTGGAGCGTCGGCCGGAATGTTCATGGCTTGTTCCGGCTGCCGCTCTACACAGTACTGCTCGCGGACATGTCAAAAGGATGACTGGACCTCTGGTGCCCACCGTTCCCTCTGCATCGAAATCAAACAACTCAGGAGTGGTACGTCAATTCACCTTCCGATTCCTTCGTGTTCCTCAACGAATTTAGACGGTGCCCCCTTACCCATGTCTTCGAGTGATCAGAAAGCCCTCGAGAACCTCAATAGTCAATATGTCAAATATTACAGACAAGAGCCCTCGGAGTGGGACGCGCTGTTAGAAGAGTATATTGCAAAGAATGGAGAGCCAAATCCTTTCTGGCCCTTGGTTGTGGCACTGGACTACCGTGCTCTCGACGTTAACCCTCAAATACTACTCGAGTCTTCGGAACGGCGTGTCAAAAACCTCGAGATCGTAGCTCAGGCACGAGAAGGACGTGGTATCCTCGTGTATTGGACTATCCCAGATGGCCATCATCTTGTGGAGAAAGGGGAACTGGTTGTTTTGTAAACTAATATATTCTAGCTTGCTGCTCTCGCGACTTCGTCAACAGGTGAGGAAGAATGTGACACTCTGGATTATGCTCAAACTTAACGCCATTATCCGTCAGTTTATTAGATCGTTCTTCCTCTCTAGGTATACGCCATTTACCACTACCAAAAAATACCTATCTCAGTATTATAGCATAGTTGTGATCCACGGTCTCTATTTCCATCCAAATGGTCCATCGTTACGTTAACGCTGCTGCAGAGACGACTCGACATGAGTCTTGTTTGTGTGGCTTGACCGGACTGCTTCTCATCGTTTTACTCCAGGCGCACCTCTGTCGTCTTTATGCTCCAGATACGACTAATATACAGCCCGGCAAAGAGATGTCTTCATGACCCAATGTGTATCACAATTTCCACGACATCGTCAAAATGCATTGTCCAACCCGTCTAGCGGCTGGCATCTCATTACAAAGGATTCTTGCTGGTCGGTTGTCTAGTAGCATAAATTCAAAGAGAGCACAAGGAAATTAAGAAACTCCCACGCTGCATCCGCTGTATTTGCGGTCAGCGAAGCACGCACTTTTCTTCCGACCTTTAAATTCATCAACCACGGCATTGTACCAATCGTCTTTGAGACGTCTATTCTCTACTCGAGTTTCTTGTCTACTACTGGTATTGCGATTAGAACAAACTGGGAGTTCACAGGGCTGGCAGATTGCTGTTCAAGTATCAAGTTCTGTATGTCACGCTTGATCCTGGTGGCTTTGAGGACAGAAATAGGGACGAAGCACATATAAAGGACTTGGAAATTACTAACAGCGAAGTCTCGGACTGATAACGTGTCTTGACTAAGTGGTTTACTTCCATTCCTTCATTCAAAAGGTTCAAGCCGGATGTCGGATGTTTACCAATTTTACAGGAACACGCATGATGCCTTTCTCAGCTATATGCCGTACTACAACGTAATACCTGAAGTACGACTTCCATCGGGGAGGAACAACATTGTTGAAATCTCGGTACGCCTTTGCGGAGTAAAGTTTCCTTTATAACAATACTATGTACTGCTCAAAAACTGAATATTTCGGATATGGTGTAACGGCTAACATTGCCGCCTTTCATGTCTTTCCGCGGCAGCTCGGGGTTCGATTCCCCGTATCCGAATAGTGTGCTCGTGTCTTCGAGTTAAGTTTTGCTTCCACGTCATAATCAGAACGCTACTGACCCACTGAATGTCAAAGAGTTGACACTCCAGAGACGAGGAGTTGCATCAATGTGTTCTAATTAAACTTTTCTCCGCATCAAACCCCGCGGGGAAGGCCCCACCCGGCGCCCGATTTTACCCGAGTCGGCAGCGGAAGCGGGATGGAGATTTCCCCCTGACTATATCAGGGCGTCATAATTTCATTTCACGTTTTCACTCCATTTACTTCTCTCCCTTCACCACTTACGACACACAATCCTGGCTCTCCGGCGACAAGAACTTGACGAACGTACGATACTTGGACGGACACGAAGACTGAGGATTGGGCATTGACACTGGACAGCTTGCACGTAACGTCAGCGGCGCTAAAGGAGGAATTTGTTTACCGTGCGTTTCGTCCATTGTATTTGCGCTCTTGCAGTACTTAAGGGCCACATTGCAGACTGTAGTTGGCACCAAGATCCCACAATAGTGAGTATTATTGTATGTTCTTATTGTGGCACAACTGACGCAGTCGTCAGGCTATTCATGGCTCTCTATTAGAACATTGGCCTACCCACTGGACAGGTCTGACCAACGACTGCGTGAGTATTGGTCTCTGTACCTGTTGTATACATGCTGACTTTCTGCTAGGCCTGTACTAACTCAACGCAACTCTATCATCGCATTGTGCCACCAAGCGTTCTACACTCAGCACAAGTGACAACCACAAAAATTGCTATACTCCACAAATCTACTACAATGATCGCCTCACCCGCGTCATCAGCGACGCTGGTCAGCCCAGAACCTTATCACCGCCGGAAGCTCGACTTCAATGTCGCCGCAAAGCCTAAGGGCCACCTCGAACCGCATGTAAGCAACCTACCGCGACGAAGGGTGGCGAAAGGGAGGGCTATCCTAGAGGAGAGCGAGAGCAACAGCAAGGGAAGCGCAAAAACACACTCTGCGCGCTCGCCCAGGGTTGAGGGAGAGCCTCAATGTCAACATGCGAGCATACAACCGTTGGGGGAAGAAACAGACGTGTTTGTCTCTTTTGAGGATGTAGAGGATTGGACTGGGGTCAAAATTCGCGTCGAAGATGAAGGAGAGAGCGATCGAGGCGTACCGACTCTGTTACGCTCGGTTTTCCTCAAGCTGATGATGACCACGTCGGGAAAGATTTTGGTTGTAGGGTCTGAGGGAAGAGTGAACGCATTTGCTGTAGCGCTGGGGATTCTTTGTCGGAGGAGCCGTAGGGATGTCATAAAGACATACATGGTACTGCATGATACGGGTGGATTAGAGGATTCTTGGAGGGGCTTGTTGAGTCGTGAAGGGTTAGAGTGGGTAGTCGGACAGCAGGAGTAGACAGACATTGTATTGATAGACGTAATGTGTATTCTTAGAATAAATACTGTTCAGATATGGCGTAACGGATACTTTTGGTTCGACTTCTCGTAACTGGAATGTACAGATGCTTTGACTTTCTACTTGTCTCCCACTTCTCCGTTCGATGGTATTAAGACCAGGCTGGAAAGCGCTCGCGCAGAGTAACTCAGAATGATATGCTGATACAGTCCAAAAGAAACAAGGTCGTTGAGCGCTTGAACGCCGAGACATAGCCTACTAAGTTCAAATCCACAGCGAAAGGTACCACATACGAATCGCATTGGAGGTATACAATACTATACAGATATAATGCTACAATTGTCCATTGTCATTTCAGAAGCCTCGTCGGACTTAGTAACTGTAGTGGGCGTTCCAGCAAGAAGTATCGTAATACTTGTGGTCATCCTTGCGGTCCTTGTCATCTTTCTTTCCGTCCTTGCCGAAGTCCCTGCTACCGCCATCATTCTTGCGGTCGTCCTTGCGGTCATCTTTCTTTCCGTCCTTGCCGAAGTCCTTGCTGCCACCATCATTCTTGCGGTCGTCCTTGCGGTCCTTGTCATCATCACAGTCATCCTCCCAAGTCAAGATGTCGATGATCTCCTCGAAGAGCTCGCAAATGAACTTCTCCTCGTTCTCCTCTTTCGAATAGGCTAGGAAAAAGACATCAGACACGCCCGAAATGAAAGGAATTATAATCAGACGTACCCTGGCAAGAGTTGCACTTGTCGTCCTTCTCGCAAAGGTTCTTGCAGTCTGAACAGTAAACGTGAGTGAAAATAATAAAATTTTGCAATGAGATTATACGTACCAATCTCGTAGGAGTCCTTCTTGACATCCTTGTGGTCGTAGGGGGTGTACTTGCCCTTGTTCCATCCCCTGAAGTCCTTCTTGTGCTCAAACACAGGCTCCCAGGTGCAGCCCTTGCGCTTGTGGTCCTTGTCGTCTTTGTCTTTGCCGAAGTCCTTGCTGCCGCCATCATTCTTGCGGTCGTCCTTGTCGTCATCCTTCCTGCCAAAGTCCTTGCTGCCACCATCATTCTTGCGGTCGTCCTTGCGGTCGTCTTTCTTGTCATCGTCCTTCTTGCCCCGGTCCTTGCTGCCACCATCATTGTGACCATAGTCCTTGCCGTAGTTCCTGCCACTGCCACCGTCGTTGTAGCCGTTGTAACCGACACTGTCATCCCTGGCCTGAACGGAGGCAGAGAGGGCGGGGACCGCGAGAGCGGCGAGAGGGATAAGAGCAGCGATTGAGAGACGCATCGTGATGAATGAGCTGAAGTAGATAGACGAGGTTGAGTTGTCTGGAGAATGCTGGCGATTTTGGAGACCTTTTATATCTTTTCGATTACCAGAAATTCCCTGCGACCTAAGTCGTTGTCTTGACCAACAAGTGAATCTCAAGATCGTCATATTGAAACAGTACCGAGCACAAGATGGTGGATATTTCTCAGCCAAGAGTAATCTTCGTCAAGACCTGCCAAGCTACAAGGGAATCTTCGAGTGCGGTAACCAAATACGGTCCAGGCGGGAACGTCGGTCTCAGAGGGAACCGGGAAATCGCGAGAGAGGCCGCCCTTAGCCTCATCAGAACTGAGAGAGTCGATAGTCAAAAAGAAGAACATTTCAGATATGCCAAGGACGTCGAGTGGATTCATCCTAGAAACTCCTCACGTAGATTGATTTTCCAGACGATTTTTCGAAGTCCAATAAGGTGTGGATCCTCCTCGATGACCCGCGGCCGCTGTGGCTGGCCTCCGCAGCCTGAGTTACGTCGATACCAAAGCGAAACATGTCAGATGAAGTCCCTCAGTATTCCAGATATTGAACCATTGAGTGATGTAATTTTTGGCCGTCAATGATTTTCTGGGTATCAGGTAGCCATATCGTATGGAAACTTCGTCATGCGAAGAAGGAAAGGCTCTGGCTAAGGACACACGGGTGAAACGCCCGCACCCGAGCGGTTGCGGCAACTTTGTGCCGATGGGACGGCTGCAATCGGCAGCGGATTGCCGGATTTCATTCCGAGGCTGCCATTTCCGATCTCCGTACTCTCAACACTCAGCAGCTTGGACGTGGATGTTCTTCGTACTTATCCACACAGCCTTAGTTTTGTCTTCGAGTCGTATCTTGAAATGTTCTATGCTTAACTCTCAGAATCTCCTTCTTGACTGTCCTTGTCGTACTTAAAAATTGAACTGATCAGTGATGTCTTGCACCAGCAAAATTTATGGCAACCTCATTTCTCCCGCTACATCTTAGACCGACGTTCCCGCCTGGACCGTATTTGGTTACCGCACTCGAAGATTCCCTTGTAGCTTGGCAGGTCTTGACGAAGATTACTCTTGGCTGAGAAATATCCACCATCTTGTGCTCGGTACTGTTTCAATATGACGATCTTGAGATTCACTTGTTGGTCAAGACAACGACTTAGGTCGCAGGGAATTTCTGGTAATCGAAAAGATATAAAAGGTCTCCAAAATCGCCAGCATTCTCCAGACAACTCAACCTCGTCTATCTACTTCAGCTCATTCATCACGATGCGTCTCTCAATCGCTGCTCTTATCCCTCTCGCCGCTCTCGCGGTCCCCGCCCTCTCTGCCTCCGTTCAGGCCAGGGATGACAGTGTCGGTTACAACGGCTACAACGACGGTGGCAGTGGCAGGAACTACGGCAAGGACTATGGTCACAATGATGGTGGCAGCAAGGACCGGGGCAAGAAGGACGATGACAAGAAAGACGACCGCAAGGACGACCGCAAGAATGATGGTGGCAGCAAGGACTTTGGCAGGAAGGATGACGACAAGGACGACCGCAAGAATGATGGCGGCAGCAAGGACTTCGGCAAAGACAAAGACGACAAGGACCACAAGCGCAAGGGCTGCACCTGGGAGCCTGTGTTTGAGCACAAGAAGGACTTCAGGGGATGGAACAAGGGCAAGTACACCCCCTACGACCACAAGGATGTCAAGAAGGACTCCTACGAGATTGGTACGTATAATCTCATTGCAAAATTTTATTATTTTCACTCACGTTTACTGTTCAGACTGCAAGAACCTTTGCGAGAAGGACGACAAGTGCAACTCTTGCCAGGGTACGTCTGATTATAATTCCTTTCATTTCGGGCGTGTCTGATGTCTTTTTCCTAGCCTATTCGAAAGAGGAGAACGAGGAGAAGTTCATTTGCGAGCTCTTCGAGGAGATCATCGACATCTTGACTTGGGAGGATGACTGTGATGATGACAAGGACCGCAAGGACGACCGCAAGAATGATGGTGGCAGCAAGGACTTCGGCAAGGACGGAAAGAAAGATGACAAGGACCGCAAGGATGACCACAAGTATTATGATACTTCTTGCTGGAACGCCCACTACAGCTACTAAGTCCGACGAGGCTTCTGAAGTGACAATGGACAATTGTAGCATTATATCTGTATAGTATTGTATACCTCCAATGCGATTCGTATGTGGTACCTTTCGCTGTGGATTTGAAGTTAGGAGAACATCGTACCAAACACGTTCTCAACTGATATCTGCTGTAAGCATCACTTAAGTGCGTGTAATGGCATTTCTGGCGCGTGCAGTTATAAAAGACAGT